GGTCCTAGAACTGCGGTCCTGAAACTGCAGCCTCCGCTATATTATCCAATTCGGTAGGTGGCGCTGTTACAAAAGAATAGGGTCCTAGAACTGCGGTCCTAGAACTGCGGTCCTGAAACTGCAGCCTCCGCTATATTATCCAATTCGGTAGGTGGCGCTGTTACAAAAGAATAGGGTCCTAGAACTGCGGTCCTAGAACTGCGGTCCTGAAACTGCAGCCTCCGCTATATTATCCAATTCGGTAGGTGGCGCTGTTACAAAAGAATAGGGTCCTAGAACTGCGGTCCTAGAACTGCGGTCCTAGAACTGCGGTCCTGAAACTGCAGCCTCCGCTATATTATCCAATTCGGTAGGTGGCGCTGTTACAAAAGAATAGGGTCCTAGAACTGCGGTCCTGAAACTGCAGCCTCCGCTATATTATCCAATTCGGTAGGTGGCGCTGTTACAAAAGAATAGGGTAGCAAAACTGCAGCCTCCGGTTGTGCAGGAACACCCTTCTCGATTTAAAGCGTTTCATCCAGATCGCCAGTAGCAAACAATGGAGCGCTGGACAAACTAAGTAATTACACCCTTTACAAGCATTTTATCTGCGTTTTTGTTCTGTAAAAAATATCATGGCATATTCGCCGATACCGATATATCTGCGACAGGCTCATATCGACCGATAAAATCGGCAAAAAGATATATCAGTCGGGCTCTAGTATACAGGTCAATGATTGGGAGCATTCTCACATATAATGTCTCACGGTACGCTAATATAACAGTTAAACAGAAGAACAAACTTTCACAAATAATTAATCAGGCAAAAAAGGCTATAAACAACATTCACTTCAGGTCTTATTTGATTGTTTTATGGAAAAAACAGCAATTGGGATTTTAAAGATCATACTCATCCCCTCTACTTTCGAAATGCTTCCATCAGGCTTAAAATTCCTCTGGCCAGAAGAAATGCTTATAAAAAATCATTTGTTATTTTAAATCGGATTACTGTTTGAAGGAAATGCAAGAGAGTGGTTGGTAGTACAGTGTTTAATGGATTTAATGGAATAAATTGATTTGTTTTAAATATATACAGTGCTGTGAAAAGGTTTTTGCCCCCTTCCTTTTTTAAATTTTTTGCATATTTGTCACGCTTAAAAGATTCAGATCATCAAATTTTAATATTACACAAAGATAATGCAAGTAAATACAAAATGCAGTTTTTAAATCATGATTTCATTTGTTAAGGGAAAAAAGCTGTCCAAAACTGCCTGGCTACGTGAAAAATTAATTGTCCCTCCTGTTAAATCATGAAAGAGCTGTGATTAAGCACATTAGTTTAGAAAGCTGAGTTATATCTCACTAGCCACACGCAGGCCTGATTACTGCCAGACCTGCTGAATCAAGAAATCACTTCAACAGAAGCTGTCTGACGAAGTGAAGCATGCTTAAAGAGCAACACATCACGCCGCGATCTAAAGAGATTCAAGAACAGATGAGAAACAGAACAGGTGACATGTATCAGTCTGGAAAGGGTTATGAAGCCATTTCTAAGGCTTTGGGACTCCAGCGAACCTCGGTCAGAGACATTTTCCACAAACGGAGGAAACCTGGAGCAGCGGTGGACCTTCCCAGGAGCGGCCGGCCTTTAAATTACTCCAAGAGCACAATGACGACTCGTCCAGGAGTCATGAACGAACCCAGAACAACATCTGAAGACCTGCAGGCCTCACTCGCCTCGATCAAGCTCAGTGTTCATGATTCAACAATAAGAAAGAGACGGGGCAAAAACGGCATCCATGGGAGAGCTCCAAGGCAAAAGCCACTGCTGACCAAAAACAACACAAAGGCTCGTCTCTCATTTGCCAAAAAACATCTTGATTATCCCCAAGACTTCTGGGCAAATATTCTGTGGACTGATGAGACAAAAGTTTAACTTTTTGGAAGGTGTGTGTCCCGTTACATCTGGCATAAAACCAGCACAGCTTTCATCAAAAGAACATAATAGCAGCAGTCAAACATGGTGGAGGTAGTGTGATGATCTGGGGC